GTGGGTAGAGGCACAGTGTAACACGCTGCCACAAGAGGGCGCTATACCTGGCGAATCACCATCACACTGGTGGAGTTCGAGCGGCCTGTTCTTGACACGGGTTTCTTGTTCTCGCGCTCGAACGGCGCGAACACGACTCAAGAACACTGTTCTCGGAACAGGATCACACACCACCTCCTCGTCAGGGTTTTACAGGAACACACGGAAAAACTCGTGAGATTCTGATTTTTAAACAGCTGCAAAAAGTAGAGAGATGGCTTTCAAAGCCATAGACAATGGGAACTTTTGCAAAATTAACATCGGAATACATCAGAAAATATACAGCTTTGGAAAGCTTTAGGGTGCTCATATAAAAGTCCAAACTCTGAGGAATACGCACCGTAAGTAAAATTGTCGAGTCATTCTCATTTCGGAAGATATTAGGATTCAAAGTATGTAACAATCCTTCAGTCTGGATTTCAGACATTTAGGACATGCCTTGAAGTAGGGCTGTGGTGGCGACAGAGAAGAGACAAATTGTAAAAGAGAGCCACTACAGCCCTATTTGTGGGGCTAGTTTGCTTTTATTTCATACAAAGGCGTTGCAAGTCCAGGGTGTTTTTTTTTTTTTTTTTTGGCGTGTTAAATCCTGGGTGTGGGCGCATATCTCCTTCGCCCCATTTTTTTTTGGGGGGGCTATTGCCCCCTCCCCCCACACACCCAAACACGTAGTAAGGAAAAATGTTGGCTTACCTCTCGGAAATTAAAAATTTCCATTTCAAGGACTGACGCATCGAGATAGGTCACTTCGCGAAATTAACGTGTAGACAACGCTGTTTTATTTCAAGTGACTTACACAGTCTGGTATCTGGACCGTTTACGAGCGATCCTACCTATCGATGTATCAGTTATTCAGTCTTACTGCTGTTTGGTGTAGTCAGTGGCTGAACATTGAACCTTAATTTGAACCACGTTTCTGTTTCTGTTAATGGCTGAACATAGTATATTTTTGGTGATATTCGAATGAAANTCGTGATGGACATTCGTACGATGACGTAAAATCCTTAGCGAGGCGTACTCGTGTAGTCAGTCACGACAACAATACTGTTGGGTCGAGTTCGGGCGGTCTGTTCTTGACACGGATTCCTTTTCTCTCACTCGAACAGCGGGAACACGACTCAAGAACACTGTTCGCGGAACAGGATCCCACACCACCTCCTCGTCAGGGTTTAACAGGAACACACGGAAAAACTCGTGAGATTTTGATTTTTGAACAGCTGCAAAAAGTGGAGAGGTGGCTTCCAAAGCCATAGACCATGTAGACAATGGGACGTTTTGCAACATTAACATGAATTATTTTCCTAAACACAGAAATGAATGTTCCTGTATTTATATATAGAAAAGAATTCAACTCATCCAAAACTTAACTCTCGAGTAACGTACACGGACGCCGCCATGTTGCATGTTATTTGTTTCTTCCCGGCGTTCCAGCGGCCGACCCATGAACAACTTATTGAACTGTTCGTGAACATACGGGAACAAACCGCCCGAACTCAGCCTTGGAGTCCGCTACCCGGTCGGGCCAGCCCACATCAGGGAGCGGTCTAGCCTTAGGAGGCCGATGATGCCGTCCCGTCCAGGCTGCAGTTTACTGCCTGACCTGCAGTACATACAACAGCCTCAACGAACAGGGACAGTAAAGTTAGACATATAGAGTTGATGCAGGGCCACAATTTCTTAATTTACACAGTTAATGTGCCTTTACAAAGGCGCTTCCCCTAAGTTACAACTATACTTCGGCACAGCAACGTTTAATAAGAAATTACATTGAGTGTAAATTGCTCATCCTTTCAAGATTCAAAACGGACATTCATTTCCGGTGTGGCTATGCGATTGGCAATCAGAGCGGCAGTGATTTATGTCTCATTTATCTACATTACAATGCCAAACTCAAACTCGAGTACGGGGCTTCTTTCCCGCGTTTAAGCACGACTAAGTTCTCAGGAATCAGGTCGACCACCAGGCGGGAAGAGAGGGCGAGTTACGTCCTCGCTGGTTGGACTGCTAAGCTAAAGTGGTACCCTCAAATAATCGTACAAATAGACAAACCTGGCAGCCGGGAACCAATTAAGGTGAAGAATGGGGGGGGGGTAGTTACATTTAATTTACAATTTAATTTACAATTTATTTAATTAAGTTAATTGAAATTAATCTTTTACCTGTTTGGTTCATGACATTTTGTGCTTTGTGTTTCTCTTTTGTAAATGTTAATTTAGTACACAAAGCAGTCTTTGTAAGACTCGTGTTGTAGGTCTCGTTCAGTTACGACCTCTGTGGTTTTTTAACGTTTGTCCTGTCTTTGAGTTTGATCAAATACATCTTGGGACGTATACAAATGGCTTCGGATATGCTTGCCCCACCAAATTCGTCTTTTTTTAAATTACCGATGACTTTTTTGTTTTTAGGGTCGTGTAACTTGTGATCCATCGGGTAATTACTAAAATCAAACTGGTCGCGCAAGTCCAAGAGGTCTTTATCGATGCTGTCGGTTTTTATTTCAACGAGTTAACCAACGGTGTCGGTGTACAACAAACGTAATAGGTCGTTATAACGACACTTTAGCGTTTTGCAATAAAATCGGACATTCACATCTTGGACAGTTCCAGTATGGCAAGCCCCGCATCAATTGGTTTGTTGAGTACGACTTTGGTTTTCATCATTTCGATATAACTCATGTCACATTCTTTGAAATGGATAACTTTCTTAAAACTGGGTTTATTCACCATGCGTTTAAACCTTACGACGTCATGATTGTTGTTGTCGCGCATTATTTCTGCCTTACAACGTTTGCGAACGTTTTCCATCGTTTGCCATATAGGCCTACCGCATTATTAGCGAGTTTAAAAAAATTTTGGTCGAAACGATGGTTTGCTTGTTTACAAAGGTCCGTATTCTTTGTAATTTCTTTGTAATGTAACTACCACGTCGAGCGTTTACCCATAGTGACCCATGGGGTCTAAATTGAGAATGTATTCCGTGTCAAAACTTCTTATTTTTCAACCCATTTAAAGTTTGAAAATGGCAAATACTGACTCATGGCCCATCCGTAAAGATTGTTTGCATCCAAATAAAGTATGTAACTCGTTGGTTGGCTGGGGTCGTAATCAGACAAGGGCTCGTTATTGGCTTTGACATAACGTTTACCTCCTACGCTCGAGATACCTCCTCGTTTAGCTTTTTCAAAAAACAAATGCTTGTCGATGTCCGTTAATGGCTCGAGTTCAGCTCGAGTTCAACTCGACTGTGTTTTAACAATGCGTCCGAAAAAAAGTACTGGAGACGTGTAGTACTTTGAGAGATCGAGCCTATAACTATCATATCATGTATTTTAGAAACACGTCCTCTAAAAGCAAATTGTCCGTTTTGATATATAGATTGTGATAATCACCTAATGTTTTACATCCAAATGTTGCCCAGTGACACTCGTTGAGCGCAGGTGTATTCTTCGTTAGCAACGCTTGACCGTTTGAGCGAGCTATAAAACACTTTTTGACGGTGGATGATGCGTTTCGGTAAATTTTCACAAGAGTCCATGTACTCCTACGGGTACACTCCTTTCTGTAAAAGCAGACCGTTTTGATCAAGTTTATCGATGTGATCGAGTTTGTCTTTTGGTCACGCTTTGAAGATATTACTAACGACGATGCCATAAAATGATACCAGTTTGTAAATCGAAGTCGAGCAAGACTAAACGAGATGTATTTTTCACTGTTTTTAGGAATACAAGAAACTAAGTCTGTGCAAAGATTGCCTTCAAACGTGGCCGCTCCTTGCATAATGAGATGCGCGTCATAATTTTCCAAATTATCGAGTATCACGGGAATCGGCGTTTCGTCAGGCACCACTTGGAGTTGTAAGTTGCAATAAGAATGCGCCGCGCCTCTGAAGACACCCGTGACGTGACAGTGATCTCTTACTTTGGGATTTTTTGAAAAACGTTTAATATATTTTAGCACCGATCGTCACCTTCTGCCTTACTTGGGTCATCACACCAACATTCGTATTTGTTGTAACTAATGTGTTGTACGCATATCCAACACTTTCTGGCATAATTGTATTGTCGTTCTTCTTCGGGTGTGAGTTTGAGCGACTCGGGTTTGCAAAAATGTTGTTAATTTTTTGGTTTCTTTCATGGGACTTGGGACAAATACCCGACTCGCGTTTGGCCCTCGATAAAGCTTTTCGGCGGTTTAACGGTTGTCGCATCGTATTACAGTATAATAAAAAACGCAAGCGACGTGTTTTTGTGGCTTTGATTTGTCGTTCGTTTTAACTAAGATCGATTCAAAATTGGCATTAATCACAAACGGAGTTTTTTTTGTTTGAGTGTATAATTTTCAAAAACTAATGTGGGAAATTCTTTACCATATAAATTTCCTGGCATTTCAACAAAACAAGCGGAACTTCCTTCGCCTTTACACTCTTTAAAATGTTTGTCTAAGTCAGCTTGCTTATAAAAGTGTGAATTGCAACGATCACAAATGTATTTTATCTTGCCGTGTTGTTGATTTTCCCCCAAAAAGTCTTGATTTATCCGTGATCCAACAATAGTGACTTTTAACGACTGGTTTCGGCAAGCAACCTGTTTCAACAATAACAAATTGTGTTTCTTCCGTGATATAAAGCAGGTCCACGTGAAGTTTGTTCGGGTGCAAAGTTTTTCGAAAGTTGTAAATAAAATAAAATTCTCTTCGTTCTTTATTGAGTCTTTGAGCAGCCCCTAATTTTTCTCCTGCCTCGGGGTGTTCGTATCCTAATACGTTGAGCGTAATGTTGTTTTGTTTTTCGATGCGCCATATCTGCGACAACGGTGTGAGAAAATCGATACCCATAAATTCAAGACCGTCGTCATCGGTATAAGTCGTTGTTCTTTCTTCGTGTATCTTAAAGTCTGGTTTATCTTTGAGTCATTGTAACACGTGTCGGGTGTAGCTACCCAAAGCAGCCCTCAGACACCATCGTACGCATTGTTCGTCTTCAGTTTGGATATCAATCACGGCTTGTGGGCGTTTTAACAAATTTGTTCAGTTCTATATAACTGCTTCCACTAATGTCACCATACCTAACAATGTTGATGTAAATGTATTTATTTTATCTACAATATACCCCGAACCTTTATTGACAAAACGCTCAATTTGTTCGATAAAGTTGTCTCTGTGCTCAAGCATAATTTGGTTCAACGAGGCATTTCTCGATACAATGGTGCACTCTGTATTAAATGTATGTTGTTAACTTTTGTCTCTGTCGTCATCGGGTCCGCGTTCTGGATTAAAAAAATCTACAATTTTAATTTGACGACGCTCAGCGATTTCTTTCCACGTTGCTACGATTTTGTCGCGTATTACTTTGTTGTAATAGTTGTAAAATGTTATAACGTCTGAAACTATTTGTCTACTTTTAAATTCAAAATTGACGCTACTATTTTTAAATCTTGATGTTGTAATTTAGATCGACTCTTGCAAAATCTTGGGCATAATCTAAATAAGATTTAACCACACGTAGGTAATCGGGTCTTGTAGATCGATTGCTTCGCCCCGTGGGTGTAACTGTTAAACCGTGTGTTTCAACGAGTCGTTTGAGATCTTCTTTTTACATCTCGTGATATTGTATAATCTTTTAGGTGATCTCGAATCGCTTTGAAGATGTCTTTTTTGAAATAACGACGCATATTTCGATTTCTGGGTGGTGGTAAGTTTACGTTGAAATCTTCGATGTATTGCTTGAGACTGTCTTGAGACCCCGATCTAATTTTCTACGGTATTAAAATTTTGTTCATCTTTATATATCACTTTATAATCTTATTTATAAAATATCTATTTATCAAGTATCAGTTTTCTACCTCAATGCGAGCTAGAAAAGTAATTTTACGTTATCCTAAGTAAGTTAATGTTTTAGCTCATGGATGCAAAGTGTACTCTTAATATTCTTCTTCATCGTTTTCGTTAATTTCGTTACTTTCATTCAAGATTCTTTTGGCTTCTCCAACATTTCTAGGTGTATCTCTTTCCTCCATCAGTTCAATAATTTTCATTTCATCATCATTAGGTATGTTTCAGCTTCCCGGCAAATCTAAAATAATCATCTCAGCTTTAACTCTTACACTTGCTCCATAAGACATTGATCCATCTTTTACATAATAGATGTCACTGATACTTATCAAAGATTTTGCCTCGCATCGTATACCGTTATACACATATAGGTCTTTCTTTGGGATTGGATTTTCATTTCCATCTAAGATAGTAGTGAGAGTTTTAATATACTTTTGTGTCTTTTGTGTTTAATTTTATATACATACATTTGTGCCCATTTTTACTAAATGAGTATACAGGCTTTAAAACATGATCAATTTTTTCTTGCTTCATTAATATATTTTTGCTTGCATTGATAAGATTAGAGGGAATGACATCTTTTGATTGTTTACCAATAAATGTATACGCTTAATTTGATGTAAGACGTCTATTCCTTTGTCCAAATGAGAACATATTTGATAACCAGTTATATTCAATGGCTTTTGGGTAGAATGCCATAGCATGTCATCCTAGGTATCACAATGAAAAGTTTGCATTTTTTCGTCTTTGTATCGATAATATATAGGTGAAAAGCATTGCGTTACATAAGTATTCCTTTTTGTTATAAGTTCTTCTATAACGAGATTTATTGGATCAAAAGACCCATATATGACATTTGGTCTTTACAATTTTGCTTGTGAAATTCGTGGTCAACAACTACAATATATGTTTTGGTTGTCATCGTTTTTTTATAACTATATTTATTAAAATTATTTATTTAAACCGATACCACTTTAGGCCTAGAGAAATAATATTCCGAAATATATTTTAGATGTTTACAAAACAGAGCTTCATGACAATCGTTGTGTCTTTGTTTTGTTTTTCCATGTGAGCAAACGGGGTGACACTCTGGGCATTTATATTTATAAATTCCATGTTTACAATTAAGACACTTGAAACGTTTTTCTCTACATTTATGGCAATATGACAACATTTGGTTTCGGGCTATTGACATACTTGTCTTTAACAGTGTTTAAATTATATATCATTTATTTAAAGTGATAATATTAACACCACCCGCCGAGTAATCACAAGTTCTTTGAGCGAGCTCAATAATGCATACGTTTTTATCGCGTTACCCAGCACCGACAACTCACAACACGAGTGAGTTGTGAGGTGTGCGATGTGGGGTGTTGTGGGTGTGTTTTAGGGTTGGTTGGAGGTGATTTGAGTGGGTTGTGTAGGTATAGGAGGGATTTTTGTGTTTTCACTTTTAATTTTCTGGAAATGTCACTTTTTTAGTCGGGTTGGTATAGGAGAAAATTTTGGTCTAGGATCATCATTTAGAATACTACTCCCCCTTTGTACCTCATGATCATCGCCGCAATTTTTTGTTGGTAATCTGCATCCCTAAAACGTTGTGTACTACAGTATGGGAAGTTAAATATTCATGCGATTGTTGGTGCTTGATATGATCTGACAACATCAAATTTTGTGCTTGCGCAGTTGCTTTAATTAGGTTGTGTACCCGAAGTGTTCATGTGCAGTTGTTGCCCTTGTCGAACTTTTTCTTCTGGACTTCTTCTGGGAATTAATAGCCAAGCTGTTTGTAAGATTTTGAGTTTTATTTGAATCATTTTATGGTATTTTATGAGATCTTGTGCTCACTCCCTGTGATGAAACAGCGCATTTTGTTTTTCTTGAACTTAACTATCCTGTGATGTTCAACATGTTGTTGATTAGTCTTAGCCAAATTCGTACAAAGACTTTGAAAACTGATGTTTTGGATTGACAAATAAAATGACAAACATATGCATGGATAATGGAAAAGGGCATCAATATCATTTAAAAAATTATTGAAAACGACAAAAGTAAATCTAATGTTAGATATTTTTCTTTCTGTTTCCTGGTCACTGCGATAGGTTGTACTTAATTCCAAAGTAAACACCACAAATATTGTTACGATATTACTGGCCTCACTTGTCCGGTTAAGCCGAGGCAGTAATCAGGCATTTTTGGAATTTTTGAATTGTTCGTCTGACCGGGCGGAGATGATCATCGAGCACTTTGATGTGCCAGAGTTGTAACTCCTTCTGTGTCCTTCCTCCATGGGGGACTGAGGAAGTCAACCCCCCTCAAAACTAAGTCTTATGCACAGACTTACAAAGTCATAAGGATGAGGCAAGTGTGGTTTAGCTTGGGGTCAGGAGGTCAGTTTATGTAAATTCTGTTTGACGCTTAAAACTATATATCCCTTGTCCCGTTAACTTCATATATCTGACTGTGTCCCCCCGTGTAAGTATTGGTGTAACACACAGTGCATGATAATGCTTCGAATCTGTCACAGGACAAATGTACCCCTTTTATGGTGGTGAGCTGGTAGTTACCTTTCTTGTGGAGCGGTAGTCTGAAAGGGTTAAACGGGGATTCGGAGCATGACGAGGAATCAGTTATGCAGTATTCCTCCTTTGTCATCAATTCCATGTTGAAATTGTTTGTTACAAATCAGCAAATCAATCCCCCAGAAACGAAGAAAGCTTGTTGGCGGCAAGCAGCCTGCGCTAACCTTTGAAAAAGTTTGCCACGGTATTGATCAACTCCATTCAACGTCAAAAGCTATACCGTTCAACAGGACCAATCAGGCGTTTCAGAAATTCTTATAGCCTTAAACATCTATGGCCATGTAACTACAGTGTACCAACAGAACTCCTGGATAACACAGGACAGTTGTTATTCTTTGTGTTTGCCTGATCCTGAAGTCCTCAGCAGTCATGGATTGCTGCAATGGACAAGCAGAAAGATGGCTCAGAATTTTGACAAGTATTGGAGCTCTCTACCTCGAAAGTGCCTTGAATGGAGCAGTCTTCCCTCTTCTTTCGGATTGGGATTGGGCGTCCACTCATCGAGCCGCCCGCAATTCAGTTGTCTCCGCGAACACTACTGCTGAGACAGGAACACATGCGAGCATCGCAGCCGCTGGCATTTTTGTCTCTACTGGTTTCTTGGAACTGATGTGTTCTCCCATTGCCGGCCTGGCAGCCGATAGATGTGGATTTGATGCCGTTCTTTTGTTTGGGTTACTTCTTTCCACATTAAAGTGCCTCATTTACGGACTTTTCAACACAACTATTGTAATTGTATCAGTTGGTCGTCTGCTTCAAGGAATAGCCAGTGCCTGTATCCAACCAATTGGATTTGCTAGGATACAATGCATGTATGATAAGTCATCGAAAGAGTTTAGGAGTATCCTGGCACTGGCAATGGCCAGGATATCATTCACGTATTTTGCTGGACTCCTTACTGGAGAGCTGTACAAATTAATGGAATGCCGCGTGCTTCTCATCTTTATACCCATGACACTTATGCTAATTAGTGGCGTTTTGATAACTTTCCGAACCAAAAATCTTCATTTGTCAAGTAAGCCTTCTGAAGAAAGCAAAACCACACACAGCGTAGTATTTCAGGGCGGCGATACCTTGCGATGGAGGGTCTTTGGCGACCTGCAAATCATCAACATAGCACTGTGTTTTTTTGTTGCTGACATAGGAAGGACGTCCCTTGAACCATCCGTGGCAGTATGGATGAAATCTACCTTTGGGGCTGACCTATCAACTATATCACTCGTATTCGGTTTGTTTGGTCTAGCAATTGTGTCTAGTAGTATTTTCAGCTCATGCATCCTTCCTGTCTTCAGAGGTCGATCGTGGATTTATGGGATTTTAACGCTGTGTCCCGCAGGATTGACTCTGATATTCCTGAATTCGTGTCGTGAAATGTACTGGGCTGGTTTTGCCTTGTTTGTGCATTTCTTTACTGCGAGTGGAACCCGTTTACTACTAACATTCATGTGCTTTACACTCGCTGCTAACCGCTACGCCGCAGTGTCTGGACTGTTGTTTGCTGTAACCAACACGGGGATGGCAGCAGCGAGCCTTGCAGGACCTCTCGTTGCCGTGTGGCTCTTTGACCCGGTTTATCTTGTGTATGCAATTGGTGTGGTACACTTGCTGTGCACTATTCCTATGATATTTCTTCGCGAGCTAGACTCTAGACGTGGGCCTAATATCGTGGATTATTTTCATGGCGACAACCGTAGTGAACAGGAGTACCGAATAGTTGATGTGCATGGCGAGAAAGTTCCATTCTTATGTCGTTCAGTTCCGGTTCAACCCCAAGAACGGACTGGTACAAATTGAAGTCTTGCGTGGCCGTAGGTGCATGAGAGCTGTCTTCACGATTCGTGTTCAGTGTTGTTTGGAAAAAAATATATATGTTTAATGCATGTATTATATATATAAACACAGTACAACGATTACATATACAACTAGTCTTCCATTACTAAAGCGTTCCTCGCTCGAAGAAACCTTGACGCCCTCCTCCTCATATAGAGACATTTTATAAATTTATTGGCTTGTGTTTGATATGTTTTCAATCTAAACGGGAAACGGGTAGCTTATATTGATTCCCGTTTTAAAAAAATCTCGTAATCAGAGTGGTGAAATCCACGCATAAAGATGGTTGACCAAACTCTTATACTATTCTGTAAAACTGAGCTGCACAAAAACCAGTAGATGTTACTGACACCACCAATTCTAGGAACAAGTAAAAGCGTGTATGGGTAACTAATGGCATACTGGGACGACATTATAATACCAAATTATGACGTCCAATTATGACAATCAATGATGATGTCTGCAATTTGTTTAAAAAGTTATCCTGACTATATTTGTGTACAAAGTTAGTGGTTAGATGAGAATTTATAACTTCGGGCAGGAACGTGTTAATACCCACAGTGTAGTATTAAAATTTACGTTAAGTTCTAGATACCATCAATTAATGTATAAAAGTAACCTAATTCTTTATTTCAAATAACGATTGTGGTTCTGATATTCTCATGATTTTCAAAGTGCTCGAAATCACTTTCTGCTTCATGTTCAGGCTTATTTGTCATACTATAAATAGTTGAATACGCATGGAAAAAGGTTTTAATTTTTTTCCCTGGGCTGAGGCATGTGGTGATTTTTGAGAATCGGTTTTTGTTAAATAGTTGATAAAAAAAAAAACAAGGCCAACTTCAAGGACCTCCCAGCTATTCCTACCTGTGTTCATGCTTGACAGCCTTGTTTCGTCGTCGTAAATGTGGGGGCTTCTGCCTGGCTGGCCCGGGCCCTGTCTGTGACCCATAAACGACCTAACTCTGTAAACGCTTTCGGGCCTCTTTGAAGCTTTGTGGCCTTCCAGGCACGTGCCGGGGTAATTCTAGACATGCCTTGGCAGCAGAGAATCATTTCCTGCAAAGACCCCCCTCTATTGTGTCTTGTTTTGTGTTGACGGAATCTTTGGAATTCCTCTCAGATTTCCAGGGGTTGCAGTAGGCACAATAGCCTTAGGGTGTACAGCTTGTGCTTCACATTAGGGGGTCCCCCCTTCCCACATATCGTGCTGGATATACCGAATAGGTCATACTTAAGCCTGAGGCTATTCCATGTGGCTTTTTACTGAAAGATAGAACAGCTGTTGGTTCAAAGCTTACTACCTTTCCCTGTGGTTTCTCTGCGGATTTCATGCTTACAGGGTACATAGGACACGCACGAATGATTTTAAAACTATTTAGAACAGCATCTATGTTCAAAGAAATAAAACTAGGGTAGTGATACAAAATCACCACATTATGCATCAATGGTGAAAAAAATGGCAACTGACACGGAGGGAAAACTTTTAAATGATACTACTCTCGAACGAGTAGAGAACACCATATATTTGGGAACACAAATTGATGAAAATCTAACTTGGCAAAGGCATTTTGGCTACATTACAGTTGAAAAATCTTTTTAAAAATATTGGTAGGCCTAGTATGAACAGTCAGTGTCTTCGCAGTAGCATATTACCAAAACGTATAGATGTAACGCTTTTATTTTACCGTATTTGAATGTCTCAACACTGACTTGGGGTAGTCCGACTCCTAAATGCAATAGACTACTTACTCCACAGAAACGAGCAATGAAGGTAATTGCAAGAATTGGGCTTCTTGAACACACACTGGACCCAATTTGAAACTATTAAAACTCACTGACTTGTATTATCTCAACTTAGGCAAATTTATACATTAACATATGAATCATGCATTACGTGCATGTTTTATTCATGTTCTACATTAACCCCAAATATTAATTCCTGTAATACTCGCAGTACAGCTGGTAACAAACTTCATGTTAGTGTTTGTAGAAGTTCCTTGTCCAGGAACAGCGTTATCCAACGTGGCACTAAATATTGGAATAGTCTGGATTATTCTCCTAAATCATTATCCACTTCTTCATAGCTTCACAAGAAAACTTAAACCTTACTCTCTAATTACATGCTAAAACATTATAATAGGGATAATAGCGGCCTTGATTACTGCCTTACAGCTATTTACGTGCTTTGTGTTCATCTGTCTCTCGCCTGTTTATCTGTCCATAGGCTGGAGAACAAATACTGTTACTATTAGTTGCCATTAGTTGAAATATTAACCAACCTGGTATGTACGGTATATTTGGTGGAATGTTTATATACAGTCAGATATCATGTATGTATGGGCAGATTGTTGGTAATTTTGGAATAACCTAATTGTACACGTACTCCAGCCTGGATCCTTAAAGCTCTTTGAACAATAAAACTCAAGTATGGGGGGCCTGACGATTCGATCCTAGTAGAACAGATTTTGCTAGAATCGAAACGTCAGGCCCTCCATATTTTGAGTATTTGTATTTTAGGTCATTGTAGTCAGCAAGCAGTTTGCAGCAGTTTTGTATTATTATTTTTATTATTATTGGTTTATTGCTATTTATATACATACGTGTACAATACAAATTGCCTCGCCTCTCGTGCATTGAAATACAATGAGTACTGAAATTTAAGAAATACATATTTATAACAATAAATAATTAAGCAATAAAAGGAGTTAATTTTTATAACACTCGAAACTAGCAAAATAACAAATTACTTGGTATCATTCAGTCCCCTGACTGCCGTTGGATAAAAGCTTCTTCTAAACCGTTATGTATTACACATAATTACTCTGTAACGTTTCCCTGAACTTAACAACTCAAATAACTTATTCGCGGGGTGAAATTCGTCATATACCGCTGGTCCTATTCTCTACTCTAGATCTGTAAATTTCTGAAACTGGTGTGAGATTACATATGTTTTGAATAAAACAAAACAACAAGAAAAACTTTAAAAATCCAACTTTATTGAGGTGAGGCTTGTTGGATGACCCAGTGTCATTATTATGGACATCAGTGTTTGGAACAGAATGAGGGTTTACGTTGGGAGACAGAGATTTTTTTTTAATTATACACTAGAGCACACAAGGGATATTTACAGATCGTGAAGTATTATGTTTAACAAATAACGGGGCAGAGTGATCGTTTAAGCTAGAACCATTTCTTGAACTGAAGGATTTCTTCCGAGTCCAATCACAAGTAATCTGTCGAGGTAGGTTTTATGAGTATTTTCTCAGGCAGGTATATCATTGTGACTAGAGAGAAGGATAACGTATTGTGGCGAAATCTCCTAATTCTAATTTCTTCCTCGGTTCATAGACCAACAATAAAACATCAACAGGAATTCGTAAAGCCTGTGTCTGCGCATACGCGAAACGCGACAGCAGGATTCCATATAGTTTGTACAGAGTTTAACATTTATAAGGTCATATTATTGTATACGTTAATAGGAAGTAAATTGCAAATAGCCTTCATGAAAGACCAACTTAATTACGACCGAAGTTTTGTCAAAAATGTTGACAAAAACTAATTGTACATACTGCCTCCGAAAATTTCACTGTAAGGTGCAATCAGATGCTCATCTCAGGACACTGAAAATGAACAAATGGCTGGGTTTCAAGGCCAGTTTTCGTCAAAATAGCCTTCGAGCTTTAAATTTGCAAATAGTATCTATTGAGGGCGGTGTTTTTTTTAGTTTACACAGAGCTTAAAGATTTCCAGACAGCAATGAATTTTACTATATGAAGCAAACTATAGGACAGAGGGAGCCCCCCTCCCCGCCTTTGTGTTGGTCATTGTTATATTGGTATCTTAGGAATTCCTTTCAGACATCGAGGGGATGTGTTTAGTGACAACAGGCTGGAGTGTGTAGGGATTGGACATTTGACATGGCCATGTATTGGACGAACCTTCATTCATTGAATTTGTCACCTGACTGTCTAACTCACGTGTAAAGTTGACAACCTCACTGTATGGTTGACTACGTTGCCGTATAACTGCTTGCAAGTCCCTGTAACAACAGTAGACCTACAACATAATGACGTAACGCAATGTTTACCGTGGTGCATTGTGGATGGAAGCTGATGGGGTCCTGTGTAAATTCGGCAAAAATGATCATATCTATAATAATGTCAAGTGTAAAGTTAAGGCATCCATCTATCCATCTCTATGTATTTTTATGTCCTTTGGTGCAAATTTTGTTTTGTTCAGAGAAGTTCAACATGTCTTAATGATCAGCAAGTAAATGACATGAAGTGTTTGATGTCCAAATATCACTGGTTATTTCACACAATTCGGTGTGCCAGAGAACATACGTTTTGATCAAGTATTTCAGTCAATATGTCAGTTACTTAGAATTTATAAAACTCGCACAATTCCTCACCATCAGATGTCTGGTGGACTGGATGAAAGGTTGAATCGTACTATTCAGACAACGCGGTAACTGGTGACTACGGCAGCTAGGAGATCATGAAGCTGGTGGACCAATGGAATCTAGCATCGAACCCTCCTAGAGAAGCACGAATGGCCTCTGAGGATGATGACGCATTAAAACAAACAACCACAACCCAGTGTGGACTTGGGACTGGGCGTGGTCTATGTGAGGTTCTTTTCATTATCTTAGTCATTGGTAGGTGTACCAGCAGGCCTGCACTGCTGCGGAGTTTGGTTTCTGTAAGTTCAATCTTCTTAATTAGCATCCCCTTCAACTGCCTCTTGTCACATTCTGCGTTATTTTTTAATAGATCTCAAAAACTGTCTCTCTGGTTGCTTATTTTCCATTATTTTGCGATCGTGAAGAAAACAGCGTGATGTTACAGTATTAATCGTTTACTTTTGATACAGCCCTAGATATTATTTGCCCAATCCACTTTTAAGCCGACCTGCAAGACAGCACATTCCAATGCATCCTTTCTTTAATACACAAAGGCCTTTCTTTATGTTCAAACGCCCCCTCACGTGATTCAAATGAGGTTTCAGTAATCGACGAGTACACGTACTACAATGACCACTCAAGTCACGATGATCTACTGGCGTCAGGATGATCAGGACGATCTCTGGCATTGGAGATACTTTCGGTAATAAGATTCAAACTATAGACCTTGTTCGTATACCGGTCGAGGTCGATACTTTTTTCCTCACTCAAAGCCTGCAAAAATGCAAGGGTAGTCAAGGCCCGTTCAACGATATCAAGAGTTATCGACGCACGATACCTTCATATAGAAGATGCGTGAAATGATGGTACGGACGTCACGCATGAAAACCGGACAAAACGGCCCCAAAAGAAAGCAAAACAAGGCGGATAATCAGCCTCAGGCAGTGGGCCAAGTAGCGTATTCGGGTCATTGATCGGCGCAGGGTCAAAAGAATTTTTTTTTACTTACGACAGCCTTGTTTAGCCAGCGAAAGAACCCGCAACCGAGTCCAGGTGAAAGCACTGTTTATTAAATGCTTTATTGCTATTAACACCTTAACGTGAAAATGGGGAAAAAAACAGATCTCGAAAGAAACCTGCTCCCTATGTCCTCTGGACGGGCCACTTTTTGTTAGTCGTACTTCTTTTGTAAGCCGGCCAATAGTATAAAATTCCCCTCCCCAAAAAGAGAGATTTCTCTATCGTTAGCAAATACAAGGCCCGCAACATTCAAATATTCGCTGTACATTGTACATTAGCATTCCAGCTAAATATCTTGCAGCCATTTTGAAATCAACTTTGTGTAAATCAGAAACAATTGTTTCTTTCAGTGCTGCCTACTAATTCAGTTTATTTAAGAAAGTATACTTTTCTAATGATGTGGTCGATGCACGTGGGCTGACATGCCCATGGCATTGACCGCATTGATCTTCAAATGGCTAACCAAAACTGTATGTGTGATTGAGTAGAAACGTTGTAGTGATAATGAGTAGGTTTTCATGCATGCCAGATTCTTAAAAATCTTGCTCGGGAGATCCAAGGACTTGGATGGACAGAATTGCCTTCTCCCGGCCTTGAGATTATCGGAATAAAAACAAAGCCCTTTGCAAGGGTACCACTGTGCCAAAAAGGCACAAAATATGGCCACCCTTTCTATCCCGCAGTGCCAAGTGAGCACTAAGAATTTCAACCCCTTGGAGCCATCCAGCCAGAAAGTTTTTCTAAGACGTAAGGACGCCCTCACATTAACATCCATTCGTGATTGATTGTCTGACGACAGGCAGTGTCGTCAGATACTATATAGGGGCCTAGACGACTAAAAAAGGAGCATAATTATGTCACGGTATTAATAAAGTATCCATTCAAAGCAGCACTCCACGTGAACATTAAGACAGTCTTAGGTCCAGGTTCACCTGCAATTAGCTTAATAAAACATTAATACCTCTTGAAGTGGAAACTTTCATCACATACCATGAAATCAAAATGTTACTCTAATATTTTTTAGTAGTGTTAGCGTTAGTGTGCAGTGCATTACCATTTTTATCACACATTCGAGTAATATCGAATACTGCAGCCGAAGCATAGAAAATGCAGAAATTTTGCAAGAATTGCTGGTGGATAGCGAATCTGACATGTCTTCCACTTGTGCTGGCGATGCCAGTGATGTGGACAACAATGCCTATAATTTTCAACGTATTTACTGGTGAACCCGATAAATATTTCGTTGTTTCGTACAGTTTGTGCCTTAATTGTCTAAAACAATGGTTCGTTCCTGGTGTAGATCATGGGTGCAATCACGTATATCCCCCGTCCCAATTTATGTTAGGAATTTATGCCACTGAGGCAATTCTTTTCGTAGCTTCAACAAATGTTATAGACAAGACAGGCTAGGGTGATAGCTGTTGCAAATTAACACACACCTGGCTTGTGTCAAACAGCAAAAGCTTCCAATAAACAGTGCAACCCCAATGCACAATATTCCAATTTTTGAAGACTTTTGGAACTGTGTGTTTAAATTGGAATTGATGTTTTTTGTAGTTGAGCCACTTTGTTCTGACAAGGTTGCTCAGTGAAGGCATATTCTGCATGGCTAGTTAGAGGGTTTAAAAATCCACGCCTACCATTTTGCGCTCCACAGACAAACGTAAACTGCGGTGATTTAGAAAGGGTAAGTTCTGTAAAGGAGAATGAAATTTTGTAAGCCGACAAATCGGTTTCATCGAGGCAATTAGTTGTATTGCCACGTAAAAATGCCATACATGTAGGGCTACCACAGTACCCTCATTTTTCCAAAGTATGGACGATAGGCCTACTCGTGACAATGGTAAAGGTCCCTCGATTTTTTTTTTCAGACAATATATACTTCTTTTCTTCGTCATTACAGATCTGGCCAAAACCTTGTTCCAGACGAGACCATGGTCCAATTCAAGGGAAGAGTATCATTAAAACAGTGCATGCCAAGAAAGCCAACCAAATGGGCCATCAAGTGATTCTTCTTCAACGAGTCTGAAACGGGGTAACGTGCGCGCACATTTTTCACAGGGCCACAAGCACGGACAGCAACAAGTGACAACTCAGAGACAGATAATGTAGTTGATCAAGGTACATCGACGTGCATGGTCAACTTGTTGTGGAACTTGTAATGGCTTTGAAAATCAAGGACACTACATATTCGCTGATAATTAGCACGCCAGCCCAGCTCTAGTCAGTAGGTTGACCCTGCGTGGCTTTCGTTTTTGTAGAACTGTGCACTACAAGACTCAAGAGTTCCTCATTTTCCAAACCCGAATTAATACCCCATTACTTAAGAGGATAAACCCCTGTTTTAAAACCAGTCTTGACATCTATGTGTGGACATACCGCGTGTCACACTCATGACTAGTTACAGTAATTGTAGTGTAACTAATAGGCAAATTCGTTGCATAAGAAAAGTTCCACAGCGTCTCAGGGTCTCCCATTACTAAAGCGCTAACACCTCGTTCCCCGCGCGAAGATACCTTGACACTATCCTGATTAGAGACATTTTAAGTTATAAGTGTGTGTCTAAAATGTTTACAAACTAGAGGGACAGTGTTTGTTACAGTTACAAATTAGTGGGCTGTATTGATTCCCAGTTTGATGACATCACATTATCACCAGAGTTGTAAGTATACATAGAAGATGGGGGGTAAAAGTCGAACACTTTTACGTGCGGCGAGCGTGTGGCAGACAGAAATTAAAAGACGGAAACGAGGACGCTAGAAATATGGGAAAAGAAGCCAAAGGAAATAATTTAAAGTGAATTTAATTTATAAGTTTAAATCAGCAAAGCAGTGAATGAAAGCACAGTTTCTTTGTAAGTTAAACGTTTCACGCAAAATACCGTGAATAACAGACAAAAATATTTCTATGGTCAGAACGAGGCAAATTATATTTGGCGAGTATAATTAGCTTTATACCTTAAAGAGCCCCCAAAAGTCAGGAAGAGCCCCGCCCAGCCAGTGTCCTGGCGAAAGGAACGCAGCTGTCGGGCCACACGTAGGTAGGTCGGCGTAGAAGCCAGGAATTTAGCCTCGTCATGGAGCCACAACTCTCAAGCATCGACGGTCCCACAGCAGTGTCGGCCTCAGAAATGGTCCAGCGATGAGGAGAAGACGACACGGAGGTCCTTGCTCAACCCTGCCCATCCCCCTTTTTAAAAGCACATACAGAGTGTACACGGGCACTGAGGGCAATGGCAAACTGGTCGTCTACAGGTTTTTAACCCGCGTATTCTTTCAAATGAATTCCAATAAAACACCTCTGTGGGAGTAACAAATGCACAAAGAATGCGAATAAACTGGCATTACGGCGCACTAACATTTCCGCATAAAAAGAGAATTACACAAATTAAAGTGAATTTGATTCGCTTTACCAGTTCTGGGAGATTTTCAATTCCGGTATTGGTAACTATACTGGGACGACACGTTACACCATATTATGATATAAAGACAGTCAACGATGTTGGAATTCCGTTGTTTAACTGTCCACATGTGTACAGAGTTAATGATCACATTATTAGATTAAAGTTTCTATATAGCGCCCTCATCCCAATGGGCTCTAAGGCACTTTACAATATATCAATACAAACGACGCTCACTTTAATACATTAAAAATAAAACTACAAATTCAGACAATGCATAACAAAGAGGCGTTTACATTAAAATACGAACAATTAATAAAAATATTTGGTAAAAAGATGTTTTCAGAGATTTTTTGAACAAAGGTTGTTGGGATCAGCTAGTTCGTTCTAACCATAACCCAGACGCACAGTATAATAGATCTGGGGAAAAAAATTCAGACAAGTGTCCAAGGTTTAAAATGAAAACGATAACTGAATTTTGCCCCAAAACGTGGTCAAGGCTATTTTTCAAGTGTGCTATAAGTTCGTGAGTGGATTAGGACAGCAGATGCTTTGCATGTCCATGACCGCGAAGTATTTCCTCCACATTTTTTCAAATTTAATTTTCTCTTCTCAGCGCTTTGTAACCACCGTAGAGGACAAGCAAAGATGAATCGTTCTACCAACCTATCTTGCCCCCAACTCCTGCCTCAACACAGGGCTCCATAGTTACTGGCGTTAAATTCAACGACCTCAAACAGGTGCCTTGTAATCATGAGAATTTTTGTACTTGCCACTGGATAGCACTCATGTTATGATAAAGACTATTCACTTAATTGTGATTTCTAATCCAGTCTAAATTCTCAGAGCTGATTATGTCCAAAATAAAGGAGGGTTTAAAAAGGTGCGATCCACCTTCTGTGTATTGTTTTATTTTGATTCTGCACTAGATATTATTTGTTCAGACAATCAACTTTTAAGCCGATCTGCTGCATAGAACGTTGCAGTTCAACCTCTCTGGCACACGAGGCGTTTACTTTATGCGAGGACGCCCCCCTGCTTTCCTGTGTTAATGAATGGGATTCTATTACTTAGTAAAACTTAATGCTACAATAACCAGTCATGCCAAACCGTATCAAAGGCCTTCATATAAAAGATGCGTGAGATGCCTGTGTGAACGTCACGCATGAAATGAGACGAAACGGCCTTCAAAAGAAAGCAAAACAAAGCGAAGAAATAAGCCTCAGGCGACGAACTCAGTGGCCTTTTCGGGTTATGTGTCTTTTTTAGAAACGACCTTTTTCACTCAATAAAAATAAAATGAAAACAAAAAAAGAGATGAATAAAATCCGTCTCTTTTCCCAGGTCTAGAGAGAAAGGAACTTCCTCCCTGACCCCTCCGGACTTGGCACTTTTTTCAGCCGTACTGCTGTTGTTTGGTTTTTTTTTTTTCAGGCAGCTGATGGTATACGCATCCCCCCAAAAGAGAGTTCCCAACCTTGAGCACATACAGTACTCGTAACGACCGTTCATTTATCCCGTGAACCAAGCCATGTGAACGCCTGTGCCTCACCTTCAGCAGCATGTACACCTGCATAAAAGTACACGTAGAGTTCTTGTACATTCATATTCATGTACAAGACCGATCCGTAATCCAACCAAAATCGGATAAAAAATGGAACCTACATATTTTGTCATGAATTGTACTCAAGCTAGACAGTCAGCCGACCGATGACACTGGAACCCCCCCCCTTCCCTATCCTGAACACTTACTATAGCCTGTAACGTTATTTTATCCCTTGACCTTAGCCACATGAATGTCTTGTATACCTTTGCGTCTCACGTTCCGAGCATGCTTCCGTAAAAGGTAAAATTTCCCCTCGATGTGCAATAATTAGTTAGCGTGGGTACGCGGCGCATTGTCACTTTTTCACATATTCTATACTTGAACTGAAGCCGATGCAAGGGAAAAGAAGAAATTTTATGACAGTGAAGTTGAATATTGGACATTTACATGGGTTTCTACAGCGAATGTGTCAGTTTGGAGACATTGGACATTTCCTATGGAAATGTACAAAATCATAGACATTCGCTGTAGGAACAGCGGAAGGGGGCGCTGAAAGGGTTAAACGTGGATTAAAATGTTGAGCGATTCGTCCTTTGTTGTCGAATCTGTTTGAATGGCTCGTTTCAAATCAGTGGATTAACCTTTCAACAACGATGGCAATTAAGTTATGCGTGGCAAGCAGATTGCACTTACCTTGGAAAAAGTACGAGCCACGGGTCCCTTAATGGGAAAGCAGAAAAGTGGCTGAGAATTTTGACAAGTATTGGAACCCTTTACGTAGAAAGCATTATGTATGGAATAGTCTTCCCTCTTCTCTCGGATGGGTATTTCGGCGTCCACACATCGAGCGTCGACTCGTGTCCTGCGTCGCGTCAGGCGATGTAATTTGTGACGCGACGCACGACACGACATACGACGCGAAGCATGACTCTGCGACGCGACAGGCGACGGGAGGAGTGACGTTTAGGCAGAAAAATGCAACATGGAAAGTACGTAAGACAGCACGACGCGATAGGTGAGGGCACGATGCGAAGTATGACGTGACACTTCGTGTGTGTACAAACGTAATGGCAAGAAGGCGACGGCGCGATCAGTACGCTTGTGGGCGAGTGATGAAGCATGAATTCTGTACTTTTTCTCTTTCTTTTCCACAGGCTAACAACCTACAGCACTTAAACTGTCAGAAAAATCTTTGTCAGTTGGTACAAATGCTAGAGAAATGTTAAAAACTACATAAACACAATACGTACGTGGAACAACTCCTCTTTGCGTCTAAACGTGTCCGTGGCCGTCACACCGCAAAATTGGTGGGCATGAATGGATGACGTCGGCAGCGAAATCTCGACTTCACGTTTAGGGTGCGCGCGGCGGGTTTCTGCCGAAACTCTCTAATGCAAAGGAGCTGTCGTGCCGTCGTGTCGAGTAGTTGTGTCGCCTATAGAGAGACAGAGATTTGTGAGGTAAATAATACACCATCAAACAGCAAAACGAGCGGCCGTCTAAAAAATACTTGCCCAAACCTGAAAATCTTCTTGAAAGAGCAGTAAACGATCAGCTCTTCACATTTCCTAACAAGAACTGATTTTTTTAGGTTTGAGCAATCAGACTTTAGAACCTGTCACTCCACTCAAACAGCAGTCTTAGATATCACTGATCACATCCTTAACAATAATTATGAACAATGGGAAGTTAACGGATGCTAATTTTTAGATCTTAAGAAAGCATTCGACACAGTTTACTATAAGATTCTTTTGTCTAAACTATGAAAATAGAGTCAGAGGATAAGAACTAAAATGATTTGAATCTTACCTTTCATGAAGAATGCAGGCCACGCAGATCGATGGTGCTACATCTGAATGAAATTGGATGTTGGGATTCCGCAGGGTTCCGTTCCCGGCCCCCGTCTCTTCATTGTTTTCATTAAAAGTTTGCCCTCGTGTATCTCAGTGCCACTATGATAATGTTTGACGACACATCTCCCGATAACATTAATTATGACACGAAGAATGGTCTTTAGTGCAATGGTTGATGAGCCACAAACTGACAATTAATGTGAATAAAAAAAAGGATTTTTGGCTGTCGTCCAAGATTACCAACATTTTCCCACGTGCAGGTTGTCTTAGGTGATTAACCCATTGAAAGAGTTTATTTGTTTAAATATCTTGGAGTTACTCTTGATGAATAAATGTCCTGGTCTAATCACGTTGATACTACTACCAAGAAAATATCCATGCACATGGTTGAAGCTACCCATAAAGATATACGCGATCACCGTGGCCAAGGCGGTCCACAAGTGGTGGTATTGATTACATTTAGTCAAGTAGGTGAAAATGTCTATTCCGACAAATTTTTAATGAAAGTGCATAGAAAACCTAATAAAACAATATTACAGTATAGAAAATACTACTTATATTAAAGAAATTACATTGTATTTGGGACAGGTAGACAACATGTAAAAGATTTTAATTAATTAAGGAGAGGTTTGTTAAGCGTTTTTGCCTCTCTGAACAGTTGTAAGTTTGTTCCAACCCATAGTCCAAAGGTACTGAAAAGTTTGGCAGCATTGGTCTTGGGAGCAGTGGACAGATGTAATGATCCGTTTGTCTTGGCACACGTATCAGCAGGGTGACATGGTTTGTCAAAGGGTAACTTGAGATATGATGGACTAAGATTGTTTATGTATTTGTAAACTTCACATATTCAGTGGTTTACATCGGGCTCACAATGGTGTCCTGGAAAGCGGTCCAAGCAGGTCCTGGATGTGAGTTCTGGGGTGAGCGCTAGGTATTTATCTGGCAAGTCGGTTGTAGAGTTTTAGTGAGTTTTAACGTATTTACCAGTTTCGTCCGAGTTATTTTGTCACGTGATATTTGAAGATATTTATCTTTTTTCTCTTTTTGTTTTCGTTTTTGTTTTCCGTATTTTACTCCATGTTTCATCTCACATTTTTATTTTAAAATATACTTATTTTGTATTTTAACTCCTGGGCGGAGGGAATGCTAGTGTTTTGTATGGTGTTTTGTAATACCTAGTCATTTTAATGTATTACCTTTTACATTTTACTTGCTAGATTTAGTTGTGCTCTGTGTTTTACAGTGTTTATACCCCTTGTTTTAATTAATTAATTAACCAATTAATTAATTATGTTCAAAATCGTATCAGAGCCCTCATAGAAAGCAGTTTTGTAATTGATGAGGCCACAATGTATAAATAAAACAATTATTAGAGGCAGTTCTTTAATTGATTTGCAAATTTATGGGCAAAACTGATAGAATGTCCGACAGCCGATGTTTTTTCGTAAGTACAAAATTCCAACGTATACAAGACCGTGCGCCTTCATGAGGTGCAAATCAGCGTCCCATTTCATGAAAGCTTCCGCCGCTCCCCTTTGTGACAGTGACAACGCCCCCTTTGTACTCGATCCAGAAAGGCCGACTTTCCACGTCACTGATGAAGGTTGCCTTGTCGTACACAGAATCACCTCCAGGCAATTCATAGCATTCGGTGATTTCAGTGTAGCAGGTTCTGATGGATGATTTTTAAATTCCCCAACCACCGACTCCTATAGACGGAAAAATGCAAATTATATACAAAACAAATCTAACGATAAACAATTTTATCTACCTAATAGAGCAAAATGGGACAGTTATACGACATCACGTAATAATAGAAACATAACAGATGGTAAAAAAATAAATATTTCCATTTAATCACAAGGGGCCAAGGGTTCAAGTCCATGAATTAAGACCTTGAAATCTGTAAACAGTGTGGGCCTCAAGCTGTGCCAAGAGAGGGCGCAATTATCCCAGCAAGGAAGCCTTTTTAGTAGAAACTACGCATCACTGGTTCTCCAATGTGTGTATGGGGAGGGGGCGTAATCATACATGTCGCCTCTACGTTTTAAGTTTGGTGAAGTGGAGTTCGGCTGCCACCATGATTGTCGTTTATTCCAGACTGTTTTCTCAAGTTAATTAAAAGAAGTATTTGAATGGCTACGAAAATAAGGGAAACCCGACAGGCTAATGGGGGAAACTTGGAATTATTATCACACTTAGACTAATAACACACTTGTTCATTAATTAAGCACTCCCCATAACAATTGTAACATTGTACTACTTTCCCCGCCCTGGAACTTGGCCAAAACCCTCCCTGCTAACACAAACAAGAGATTAACCTATCAAAATAGAAGTGCAAGCAAGGTTCAAGGAATGATCGGTTTTTTGCTAACGGGTTTTTAAAAGAATTATTCCAAGAAGATTGCTGCCGTGAACTGTTTTTATATGGAGGGGGTATGATTTGTTATCAGCATCAACAGAGCCACTCCCCATCTTTTCTTATTGTTTGATTTTATACAGCTTCATGGACGAGTGGTCTGTTTGCTGATTTATTCAAGTAGTATTTTGCGACCAGCATGGAGAGAATTTTAGGTAGATGTCAATTTTAATACACTGATAGAGATACCAGCGTTTTTGCACAGTAGAGTTTTCTGGAAAGTATGTGTGAATTTTGCTTAATTTTAACAGTACAATACTTAATGGGAAGTCATTACTCGTCTCATGCAAGGCCACGGTAGTGGGTAGGTAGCACTTGTCAACACATAACGCTCCCGCGGGCCCATAGAGTGTTATCGATTGTGTGGCCGCTCTCGTCAACAGCGGACGTTCAAACAGTCAACACACCCTTGTTCACTTCCTTTGAAACTGTTTCGATTTCGGTTGACACGCGTTCACGCGCGGCGTAGTGACGTCACATGACGTCTTACAATGTATATTCACAAGAGTGCGCCATTTTGAACTAGTGATCGCTCAGCTATACCTACCTGTCATGGCCAACCTCCATAAACTCCGTGAAGCACTTCGTTTTTGGTTATTTTGGTGAAATGTTGGATGATGATGAATTTATGTTACTTTATGATGATAAATATAACGAACAAGTTATGAAAACATATCTCCGAGGTTTTATCCATTTGGAAAATGGATTCTTCTGTGAACGACGTGCTTGAGGTGAACAGCAAAAATGCTCTGGACGCGTCCTGTATTCTGGGGCAGTAGCCGGGCCAGAGAACGAGGCTCATGCGCAGATTGACAAATGACGTAATTGCGTCGAAGCGGTCCACTATGGGCGCACCCACGCAAATAGGCCAGAAATATGTCTGCTGAGTACACAATAATTATGATCATTAACACAATAGTCCGCTGACAAGGATCACTTACTACATACTGTTCATTGTCCGTATCATTATCAGACGGTGCGTAAGGCCCTTTGTTTGGGGGTTATCGCTTCCTACTCCTCATTTACTGCGGAACCTCCCTGTAAGCCAGTTTGTATTTTTCCGTGACATCACAACACTTATGACTCAATTGTCTATTTTTATCGTCCTATTTAATCCTGTTTTCATCCTGTACTATGAAATGATTGCAGAATCATTTCATAGGACGTGTCAAATTGTGCCACGTTGTCTGACCCTGTGCAATTTCATATTGATGTTCATCCCACACACAAGATCATCTTGTACCATACTTTCTGACCATATGCTATGCCCATACAAAATGTCATCTTCTGTCATGCATTTTACCCTACACCTGATTCCAATTAATATCAACATGATCATAATTATTATGCTTATGCATATTGATGTGACCTTTTGCGGTTCATGTCGCAAATGTCAAACTGTACCAGCCCCCCAGAAACATTTAGGGTACAGAAATAATTTAGGCCTACGGAGTTGTGCCTCTCCTTTTGCGCTGAGGAATTTTTTTTTTTATTTAGGAAAAGCTTCAAACTAGTCAGGGGATACAGATTATTAGTTCAGCTTAGCTTCAACGTGAAATCCAAGGCTCCAGCGTAACAAAGCTTTGACTTTTTTTTCTGCCCGAGACGGAGTAGGGCCTGGAAAACACTAATGGTACTCAAAAAATTTACAAAAGAAACACAGTGCACTAACAATGAGGGTCTTTTGTGGGTACACTGTGCTTCTTTTGTCAGATGTTCAGAGTGTGGCCTGGGCCTGAAAAAGACTGAATCGAACCCTGGCCGGGACATTTCTTCAGTTCTTAGTGCGTACCTGCAATTGATTGCTTGCTTAACATCCAATCACGAATTCAAGGCATGAAAATTCCAAAGGCCATTAAAACTCGGCGCTGCACGACAAACGCTCAATCGATATATACGTGTGTTTCTGCGGGGTTCAATTTACAAGTTACCATAGTGATCAGATGTAGTCGCTGAAGGACCTATGCGTACTTAGGAAATGTCTGTTTTCCCGGGAAATGAATATTTTTATTCTAAATATTGTAACTCATTCAGAAGAATAGTCGCCGAAATCGAGGAAAATACTGACAGACACTTCGAAAAACTATGAAAATAACTAAAAACCAAAGAATAGAGTTGTAAAGGCAGACACTGGTGATCCCTAACAAATTGTGAATTTTCCTTGACGCCCACACAATTATGTTTCCAACGGAAAGTTTTGTATGGCTCGGAGTAAATAAACCAAATAAAACATTTGGAATAAAAACAGTCATTAGGGTGCATTTCAGTAGCTTCTCAGATGCTGACTCGGGTTCAACCTTGTCCCCAAAGTCTCACTAGCGAACTACGACCATTGTTAGGTCAGGGTTGTCCTTGGAAGCTATTCGGATGCTCCACTAATCTCTGTACAGACAGGTACGGACGAAAAGTCGCACAGAGTCAGTGGCTAACACTGAAAAGGGCTGACTACCACTAGACATTTTCCTCCTCTATTTTCTGAGGAGAGACAGGGGCACAGACCTCGAATCACTGGAAGCCATTTTTGGAAATAATGGATACATGAACGCGGCGCTTTTGAATTCATGCGCGTAAGAGCATTGTACGTGTGCGGTCGTCATATCACACCGAGCTCCAAGTGAATTCCTACTGAGTCCCATTATCTAGCATGAAAAACAATCCTCTAATGATAATCAGAGCTTGTAGAGCCTTTGCCTCCATCCAGGCCTGTCCATTTCTCGTTCAAATTTACAACTAAATGCAGGAATGAATGGTTTGACAGTCTAACAATAGTCAGAAATGAAATTAAAGTAATAAAATACCAAACATTTAGCACAGAACAAGCAAACCGAGGTGACCAAAATGAAACGGCACAATTGCTTCATTTAAATAAGCAAAAATTATGGACAAAACTGGTAAAATGTCCAACTGCCATGGCAAAAGCGGAAGGTAGAAATTCCAACGTGCACAGGAACGGGTGATTTCATGTGGTACGCCTTAGCGTCCCACTCCATGAAAGCTTCCGTCTGTCCCCCCTTGCCGACAGTCACCACGCCCCCTTTGTACTCGACCCAGAAGGGTCGACTTTCCACGTCACTGATGATGCCTGTCTCATCGTGTACAGCATCGTCTCCGAGCAATGCTGGGCATATCTGTGAATAGCAGGCTCTAATTGATGATTTGGAATTTGACCAGCCGCCGATTCCTACAAAGAAAGAAGTATACTGTAACAGAAGTTGAGTCTATTACTTTCTTTTTAATAACAAGCAGTTGCTCCTTTAAAGCGGGTTACATATAGAGGGACCCCAATACGACGCTTTTAGCGTCGATCTGCGCGCTTCCGCTTTCAAAACGAGGCTGTATGTGTCAGTTTCAATTCTAAATACCATCAGACGATTGAAAGTAAGGAGTCGACACAAAGTACATAAAGGTATGCTAAATTCAGACTTTTTAGGCTTCAAATTTTGGTGGAAGAGTCTTTCAGGATGTCACGACACGTAAAATCAAAAGTGCAGTGGGCGTGGTTTAAACTGAAGTGGCGTCACACTTACGAACCGGATACTGTATGTACTGTGTCGACTCCGGGGGCGCACGCGGGGAAGTACAACACAGAGAGCCTAAATTACGATGCGGATATGCGCAGACGGCGCTGATGTGAAATCCCTCTATACAGTTATGGCCATGGAACGGCAGGGCCCCTTTTGTTCATTAACCTTTTGTCTTTAATTTAACTGTAGAGTACTGGCCTGGTTCAGTGGGTTCATAAATGCTAGTCTGGGTTGCTCGCTGCGGTCTTAAGAATTCCTTTCAGGCTTTTGTTTTATAAGCAGTCGCGCTACGTTCTTTTTGAACACCTTTCACTGCAAGCGGTAAAGGTGACTGCGGCATTGTTGAGTGAGTGGACTTGCGGTCAGGGTGTGGTAGTGGAAGGTGATGTGTAATTTGGTCTCACATTTTCAGCACATTGGTTCCTACCCATGTTTCTATGCATCTTTTGTTATTTGAAATGTCTTAGTTCGTGTTTCTTTACACCACCAGGACCATTTCTTTCTCTCTTTCTTTCTTTATTTTTTGGAAGTGGTTCAATGGTCTGCGCAGTAACTATATGTACATCTATGTTCTGTTTATTTCTTTTATACACCACGTGTAATTTCCTCCAATTTATAACCTAATGAGCCCTTCCTCTGTGCTCTAATCGTTTCCTTTTGTAGGTGAAGAAGCGCCCGTTAAACTAGTTATTGTTGATATAAGGTACGTGGATTATATTTATATTTTCATTGTTGTTCCATTTTTCACCATTAAACTAAACTTACATGTAGCTCGTTCCCCCTTACTGGCGGTTGGCCTCCGATAGGTTGTCGTTACAATATTTTCTCGCAAAGTGCAAGGTCAATGTGTGATAGGAGGGTATGGTGTTCCATATGTGCCATCCGGCGTCGCATTTTTCAGCCGGCCTCGCATTTTTCGACGGGCCACCATAGAGGGTGAGTGAAATCCAAAATCTAACCCTGAAGTACAGGATTTACCCAGTATAGCGTAACCGGACAGAAGGGGGGGGGCTTTAGAGGGGGAGGATGCAGCGGTCTGGAGGTTTTAAAATCAAAATTTGGACAGAAAGTTTAGATCATAAAAGCAAAAAGCACTCCCAAAACCACAAGCGGCACAGAAATACAAAAACCCCTAAATTTCGAACTTGTTGGACAATAATATTACAGATAAGAGAAATGCAATCTTTTAATGCACGATATAAAGGAATCTTTTCCTTATGCTAGATAAGGGAACTGTGTTGGTTATAAATGTTAAGTGGAAGGGACTACTTTGACATACTTCTCTTCATTTCATTTCATTACGGTTTGTTAGAAATAAAAGATCAACCAACAAATTATAAGACTATGTATGTAGATATAGATATATATATAGATATATATAGATATGGATATATATATTTATACATGCAACAATTTAGAAAAATTCCAAAACAATACTAACAATTCATGTATCAAAAAGTTAAACGATTGATAATAAGGAGAAAAAATTTTAAACATTGCCCAAGACAAGCTTCTGAAATAAAACAAGCTTACAATCAACAAAGTGCATAAATATTACCTATCTCGGCAAAGATGGACCCTTTTGTTTGGCTTTCTGCCAGAGCTACCAAGGCGTCCGCGTTTGCCTTGACCGTGAATTCCAAACGAAACGGCGGGATGATTGGCCGCAGGACGAAATCAAACCTAGGTGGGCTGGCCGGCTCAGTGCTGAACGAGCAGGCTACAGCATAAACAAGAAACGAATTAATGACTCAAAGCAGACTATTGAAAACAATACATTTAAATTGGTATATTCCACACGATATTGCTGTTTTTATGTGATTATGCGATGTTATTTCATGAATTCATAATTATCCATTATTTATTCATGGTTTACGCTTTATTTAATTATCCATATTCTCGCAGCCATACGGCTGAATTAAAATGGCATTGACAAAAATCAAAACGAGAAAATTCCATGAAATTGATACATACACAAAATAATTAAAAAGTAATCCAACCTACAACTATCATATAGCACATGGCATGATGACATAGCAAACATGCATAAGACCGTAAAAACGAATAACATGACCATGTATAGAAAGGAGCATGTCTGAACTTGGAAGGGGGAAAGTAGGTAGGACGGGCATGGGTGGTGAGTGAATTAGACTATTTATAGATATAAAATACAAAACATGCGATGCAAAAAGTCTGTTTCAGGTACCTGAGGCCATAATTTTTCTGGGCGTCACTAGGCGGCGTAATTTCTCCTAGGTTTTGCGCTGTTATGTACGAGCTCGTATTAGTGTAGTGCAACCTTAAGAAAACTAACTGCGCCTTTGACCAAGAGTCACTGCGCTGCTGAACAGCTCTCTATGGGCTGCCAAACAACTCTCATCGCGCAGTGAAACTACGCTTACCGCGCAGTAAAACAATTCTCTCATTGCACAGTGAAACAACTCTCTTATCGAAGTTTAAGTACGAATATTTTGGAGGGTTGCTGGATTAAACAGTTTTTTTTAACAACTGGAATAAAAATTTCTTTGGGTCATCATCAAATCCCAAAGCCCAGACGATCTTATACATATGTACCAGATATTTCATTCTTAGTAATGTAGACCTTTCAAACATGTCCTAGTCAACTTCATATTCAAATTTTGTCATTTTGTATTTCGGTGACTATTTTACATTTTGTTGTGTGTGGTTTTGTCCGTGTTTGAGGAAGAAAGCTCACTGTTGGAGACTTTTCAATTTTGAGTATTCGCCTAAATAGTTTATTTTCTTATTTTACTTATTTTTAAATTCTTGAATTTTATTTTTTTTATTGGTTTGTTGAAGAACAACATGCCACTAAAACAGTGTAAAGTTGGTCTAATCGCACACTTTCGACTACAATTCTAGTCCCTTCTTTTGTGGTACATATTTCCTGGTCTGTTTTGTCAACAGGTTCTTATTCAAACAACGTGTATGGTTCCTGTACAGTCCAACATGTCTGCCAATGAAGTCTTGCTCAGAGACGTAGTCAAAAAGTTGCAATATTATCACTGTGAGATCGGAACTTGTAAAAAGTCGTTACATATTGTAAAGTTTAGAAGGTTTGTTTACTATCTTGTTAACTTTCCTTCAAAGCTTCCGATAGTGACGTTAATGAAATTTGTGTCTGATTTAATGACCGCTTTGGATAGCAAGAGTTAGAGAATGTATTAGGATATACACTGTATTTTAAGCTGTTTTGAGCAGATTCTGCTCAACGATGCTTTAAACGTTGGGGCAACTGTCACCTTACAGGTGAACCCCTCTCACTTTGGTCGAGTTCGGGCGGCCTGTTCTTGACATGGGTTTCTTGTTCTCGCGCTCGAACGGTGGGAACACGACTCAAGAACACTGTTTTCTGAACAGGATCGCACACCACTTCCTCGTCGGGGTTTTACAGGAACACACAGAAAAAACTCTCGAGATTTTGATTTTTGAACAGCTGCAAACATGGCAAAAAGTAGAGCAATGGCTTACAAAGCCAGAGACAATAGGAAATTTTGAAAAAAAGTATCATTAATTATTCTTCATAACACAGAAATGAATGTTCCAGTTTTAACACAAAAGAATTCAGCCCATTTTTCTGAACATTAACTCTCGAATAACGTAACATGTTGCATGTTACTTGTCACTATTAAACTACCAGCGATAACCCGTTGTACGTTCCCAGCGTTCGAGCGGCTGAATCAAGAATAACAAATCGAGCTGGTCGTGAACATACGAGAACAAGCCGCCCGAACTCAGCCTCTGTTACAACTGTGAATCCGCCCTGAGCTGAAGTGCAACCCTAATTGGCGAAAGAAAGGCAGATGGTTACAACCAAGTTCTTGCACGCGTTCTGCGCGTACGCAAAGACAATACGTTCCGGAATCCGGTTCGTAAGTGTGACGTCACTTCAGTTTAAACCACGCCAACTGCAGATACACTGCACATAGAGTTACATGCATTGATCGCCGTTTACATGGGACCATGGAACCGGAAGTTAACGAGCAACGTCAGCGATCGTCCAATGGAAGCCTGCAAATCGTGGCGCGTCCGCCTTTGTGACGAAGTCACTTACCGGATAAATTTGTTGCGCGTACTAAGCGTGCCTCTCGTCAAACACGTATAAACTGGCACAGCCTTCACGGCGAGTTGGTACCAAAAGGACTATCAATTCAGTTTAACGGATAAAGTAGTAGTGTGTAATTACGGGTTATTATTAATTGCACGGCACACTTCATACAGGATAAATAGCGCGAGTATTCTTGAAATTTGTCTTATGAAACTGCCTCTTCTCCCCTCCCCTTTCGTTTTTCTGCCACAGTTGTTTCCATATTCTTATGGCAGATTAGACAGCAAAGTTTTCTCATGCTAAGTTTAGGGAGAAGGTTGCGTTATGCAATTTGAGCCAAGACCCCCCCCCCCCAATAAATATCTTTCCGAAACATCACGGAAAGCATGGACAATCTTTACTATTTGTGGGAAACTCTAATATAACATTGACAAAAGATGTCACAAATTCTGTTTGGCAGTATACTTGACATAGACCCAGCGAGCCATGAATGGAACTAGGACCTATTGAAAAGCTGGAACTGTGCTAATACCAACAAATTTGGGAAGATTTGGGTTTAACTACTTACAACTGCAATCTGATGTTCGCTCGACTCCGTTCTTCCCACGGCATTCCTTTCTAAAGGCAGTAAAAGTCTTGTCTCGTAGAGCGACAAAATCCTCTCTGGCCTCGGCCACTACTCGGACGCTACATGATGCCCCTTCGACGCTGCTTAAAAACAGAATTATCATCAGACAACATAGAAAAACGACGCTCAAAACATAACTTGGCGGTAGCATTGTATACTGTGAATGTTTAGTATCAGCTAAGCAATTTAGAGGAGAGCGGCAACTTCTGCCAGTATCGATACGGTCATTAAAATGTTGCAATATGCTCCAAGCACATAGGGGAGTCAATTCATTTGATGTATGGATCGCCAGTATACATTCCCTTCAGTTACCCTGACAGTAACGGTGCGTTTCTCGCTATGAAATGTGTATTTGCCTTGAGCAGAAGCACCCCATTGGTTAAACAGAGTCGTGCGGACACAACGCAGGCTGACTGCAAAAATGGTGTCCATTCATGTCGCGTGCTTTTCAGTAAGGCGAGTGCAGGAAACCTGGCAAGCAAAAATCGTCAAGCAAAAAGAAGTCAAACCCTAGGTAAATTTCGATTAGTGACGGTATCTACACTTTTTTGTCAAAGACTTTGTCCAGTAAAATGAATTTGTCATATCCTTTTACATGACGATGTTTATTTGTCAATTGACAACTACCGGTAATAGATTAGTCCATCATTGAAATTAGTCCTTAACTGATTTTAATTCCTTCAGTAACTTTACCGACTTGCAGTACATCGATTTTAATTTGTTATTCCAATCTGCAACTCAACAATTACAACTAAACTGAACAATTACATGCATTATTCATATTTTTGAAGGCATTTTCATCCTGATTGACTAAATACAATAAAAACAGTTTTCTGTGAGCGTACCGTTCTGTTCCACCATAGCAATGAATAACTAAACGGATGAAATTGTTATTAATCTCTTCTAATAATAGATAACATATATCCATCAAATTGTGCCTTTGCATAATTATCTTCTAAAGTTCGAAAAAGTTGAAACATTTTTAGAGCTGTATATTCAAGCATTCCCGTTACAATTTTTAGCAATTAAAAGCCCCAGAAACAGTTGTACAACCTTTCATGAGGAAGAAAAAAATTAAGTGTAAAAACCCTATCCAGGAACATAGACACACCATGAATTGGCATGCGGTTCCCAAAATGAATTTTTCTACTTTAGAACGCACGGAGCAAACAAAGTTTATTGGCCGAAGCTTTGGTTTATACTCGTGATCCTGGGAATGTATGGAAATGCAATAAATCCACAGGTATGAGAAATTGTGATGTTACTGAACTGAAGTCATCATCATAGGACATTATTAAATTGAGGAGGGGGCAGACGTCAGAATGGGCATCCAACTTCCATGCCTAAAGGTTTATTGCTATTGAACGGATCCTCATTAATTAAGTATTGCCGCCAGCCATATCTTGAAGTCGTCCTCTAATGTTAATGCCAATTTAAAGCAAATGGAAATTACACAGAAATGATGAGCGAAAGACGAACATTTTGCCGGTAGACCGTGAATTCATTTAATTCAAAAGGGAAATACATGGACATGACAGCTCACCTATCGATCGGACACCTCTGAGGACGACAGTAACATGCATTGCAAACCCACTAGGGCCTCGTTGCACGTGCAGCTAGGCTCTGAGCCAGCAATTAACTCGGTAGGCAACCACCCTTTGCATCATATTCTCTGAGTTCACCATGGAGTCAAAGAAATATCTCTTGCAAACGTAATTTCAGAAGAGGGTAAATGCTGGAGATGTGCACGACACCAAACTTTGTGTGTGCAGGTATGTTGCCAGAATTGTCAAATGATTGATACTCAATATGGCGCACACTCGATTTTTATAGGTCAGCTTTGCACAGCTGCGCCTGCCTGCCAGGTTAAATTTCTCGCTTATCGTGTAAATCGGGACTTCCAAATGCCCCCCACCAGGTTAGTGGTCGATAACTTTTTCTTTTAATGTAACAAAAATGCCAGCGAGGATTGTGTTTTCCCGGGACTTCCAAATACCCCTCACCTGGTTAATGGTCGATAACTATTTCTTTTAATGTAACAAAAATGCCAGCGAGGATTGTGCTTTCCTGATATCGTTTCTTGTGTACAGCAGCGTTAACCTGTACAGGTACGACAACAAAACTAGGATAGCACTTATTGGAGTAACTGGAAAAAGGTGAGGAAGGCATGAGCCTCCGTAACAACTGCTCCATCAGATTCAATGAGGAGAGACACCAGTGGTGGGATCACCTGGTTGGTCTTCAAGTTTACGTGCGCGTGCTTTGTTCCCGAATGACTTTGCTTTTTTGAAATAACAAATATCATCAGTGCGTATCACGGCAGACTGCAGTGGGTCTGTTGATTTGAATCATATTGCAGCCGCGTTCCCAGTAAGGTGGCAAAGGGTACCTGTGAAGATCCACGGTGGAGCCGCTACCGCGTTTGTGAAAGTTGCCCAGAATGGCTAGACCCTCGAAACCCGAGAGAAGGTGTACAATAGTCCTTTGTTAGGCGTGTGGGAAGCAAGGCCGGATCCAAAACCTAAATTGGTGGTGGGGGGGGGCAAGCAGCGTCCCGGTGCATATTTGCTTTAACTGATCGCACAAGTCACAATTAAGCGGCTTCTCTGAAACGATTTCCTGAACAAACTTTCCACACAAAACGACCTGCCTGTAAGCAAAATAATAACTTCACTCTCACTGATTAAAAAAGGAAATCGTCATCTTGGGGGGGGGCGTGGTCCCCGTTGCCCCCCCCCCCCCGTTTCGCCCTTGGTTAGAAAACCCATAGTCTACGTGCTTTACGAGACTGTTGCTACGAAGATGCTAGATAAGTCTGCAATACAATGAATTCTTTTATGGGTAAATGTAGAATTTATTTTTAAAATTAATGAGAACTATGGGATTAACACGGGGTGCCCCTTATTCATACGTCGCATTGAGCAACATGGATCATTTCATTCAGTAGTTGAAATGAATCGTTCTCTTACTGAACTCATTTTTCCATGATCTTAAAGAAATTGTAGAAGGTGCATGTGAATATGTCAGCTTATGGCCCTAATGTCTCTCTATAGTTTCTTCTTTTTTGCAGGGGGAGGGAGGAACCATTAAGACCGATTACTTTACGAATGAAAAAACGTATTTGGTCTTTAATGAAATTATATTTCCTTTCACCTTAGCGCTGACTTACTAATCAACTTTGTACAATGGTTGTTCGATAATAATGAGGCCTATTTTATCTAAGGAACGGTAACGAGACACATGTACTAATGCATGGCCTTTATGAGTTTGCAAATTTATGGGCAAAACTGGTAAAATGTCCAGTTGCCACGGTTGATGTGATAGGTAGAAATTCCAACGTGCACAGGTACGGGTGATTTCATGTGGTACGCCTTAGCGTCCCACTCCATGAAAGCTTCCGTCTGTCCCCCCTTGCCGACAGTCACCACGCCCCCTTTGTACTCGATCCAGAAAGGCCGACTTTCCACGTCACTGATGATGCCTGTCTCATCGTGTACAGCATCGTCTCCGAGCAATTTTTGGCATATCTGTGAATAGCAGGCTCTAATTGATGATTTGGAATTCGACCAGCCGCCGATTCCTACAAACAGAGAAGTATATTTACTCACAAAGTACAAGGTCGGTATGCGAACGGGACGTGATTGAAGTCCACAATTTAACCCAGAAGAATAAAGTTTACCTAGTGTTTGGAGATTTTAAGAGCAAAATTGAGACGTAGAATTAAGTCATGAAAGCAAAACTGCTTAGTCGAAAGAAATGAAGGATTTAAGCATGTGCTACAGGAGAATTACCAAAACCACTAATAGTGTGTCTTCTAACAACACATATCCCCCTGAATTCGAACTTTCAAATAATTAAGAAATTGTAAATTAGAGAAACGCCATCTTCCAATGTACAAAGGAAAAGAAAAGGACATCTTAATAGGCATAGGCACAGTGGTGGACGTTGGAACAACTGTATTCGTTCATGTAAAGACAGGACCAGTATTTGAGACTTAATTTTATTCTTCATCTGCTTAAAGAATGCAACCATCCCTAACATTTAGCCTCACACCTCAGAAAGGCCAAAAATTACATTAACTTTGGTACCCCAAAACAAAATCCCCCCAAGAAAAAAAAAGACCCTCTTTGTACTAACAGAAGACCGCAAATTCTGAACTTTTGGGGAGTATTTTGTATGCATAATACCAATTAGTTAGCTAAGAAAAGTGGATACCAAAACCAACTATGAGCGAAAAAGTAATAAGTCAACACAAGCGTAAAAAACATGGAAAGCCCTTTTGAAATCTGAGGACAATACATGAAATAAACGTAGTTATTTTGCCTCAGGCACAATTAAATCACAAATGAAAACAGAGAAGTGTGTTGGTATTACCTATCTCGGCAAAGACAGAGGCCTCCGTTTCGTTTCCTGCCAGAGCTACTATGGCGTCCGCTTTGGCCTTGACCTTGAAATTCAAACGAAACGGCGGGATGATTGGCCGCAGGACGAAATCGAACCTGTGCGGCATAGCGGGTTCAGTGGTGAATGAGCAGGCTTCAAAATAAAAGGAGACACCATAAAGACTCAGCGAGCAGACTGTTGTTGACTCTGAGATTGCAAAGTTACATTTAGGGTGACATCTGCAGCTTCACTGCATTATCTAACTTTGCAGTCTCTTTGATTTATTGAATGAGCGCTCTCTCTTTGTGTATTAATGGAAGTCACTCCATGTGGACGCTCCAAATCCGAGACATGGATCATCAGAAACTCCGTGAAAACTATCCACCTCGAGCAGAAGCACATCCTCATTTTTTGAAAAAAACTGTATTGGTTTGGATTGTTCATTTTGTTGGTAGCGATGCGACCCTAACGCGTGCATTTCCTAGTTCGTGAACCAGCGGAGATCAGTTCCTACCAAAGGAGGGCAAGATCGGGCGCGCACTATAGTTCGACCGGTAGTCAGTTGCTTTTTAACAATGCGCGTGTGTAATTCTGTTACACGCAAACAACCCTTGTTGGTCAATTTTTTTTTAATCTCATCGTTTAATACTCACGTTTCACTGTTTGCTGCGATTCTCACAGCGTACATGGTCATTGAAATCTCGTACAGTTATTTTAATGCGAATGGTTCCCTCTGCAATGATAAATGAAATCGGCTATTGATAACCAGTGGTGCGACTGTGCCCTTGGGCCTTGTCCCAAATGGCCGACTAGATAGTCCAAACCATTCGTCGTTTGGGCGTTAGTCGAACTATAGTTAACTGTAGTCGTCGCTCGAACCTACCCGAAGCTTCTGTTGTTTAGAAAATAGCGCCCTCTCTTGATCAAGCTTGAGGTCCATAAATAAAGGACAAAGTGAAAACCTAATAAAGCAGATTATACTTTGACCCAGCTGCATGGACATCGTTAAGCAGACTAGGGGTCCGTTGTAATGTACACACACAAAATCAACATTTTAAAAGAGCCACATGTGGCCCAGATTTGCGTAATTACATGTTTGAGGACCTTATAGCTGTTTCCTTTCTTTTAGATAATCAGTCAGTTATTGAAAGCTATTTTAAAACCTGAAATCTATGATTTTAGAAAATTGTGTAACTACAAACTTGCACTAAAGCAATTTGAAATTCGTAATGTTTCTAGAATGCGCATGCACTACCTGCGTTAAAAATAGCCAGTTCAATCTTATAACACATATGAAACTACTTGAGAATTCTGCTAACCATTTAAACGATCTTCGTATTCAGTCAATTACCCCCAAATTGCTTTGAACTTGATAATTTCTCAGAACTCAATGTGTGTTAANGAGGAACAATAAGGGGGTCCCCAGTTGCAGGCAAATACACACTTGTGTGCTAGGGTAACAAAAGGATGGTTGCTGGATAGCGCATTGACTACAGACTGTGGACTGGACTCAAATTAGTAACACAGACTATTGAAAACAATATACTATACTACTATACCGAGATACTGCACATGAAATTGCTGTTTTGAATCTCGCTTTTATGCAGTGTCTGTCTATTCACTGCCAAGTGTCTTAGTTTATTCACAAATATCAAAGACAGTTTTACCCATTCATTTCCATCAAGGTCGGTCTTAAACGGTTGATAAATCAACCGCGAGTAACAAAAGTAGAAACAAACAATGACAAATGTGTACATGTATTTCTACTTCAGTGCTAGATTGCACTCGATGATTTGTAATTAATAATAATTTAATTAATTCATAATTTATTTCAACGGCGAAATGTTGAAATAAATTATTTCATTTTTAGGAAAGAAGCTACATTTTTCCCACTCCCACGCACATGCCGATGGGTTTTGAAGCTCAAAGAAATTCAGTACAAGAGACAAAATACGCTTTAGCCATTTTAAATGTGATTTAAGATCATAAGAGAAATAATAAACGGAATCCTCTGGCGTATTTTTGACCCGTAGACCAGATCTATTTTGATGCGACGAAATAGAAGCCCAGGAAATTTTTGAGTGAGGGAATTATGTTAAAAACATTATGATTGAAATGTAATTTAGAACTGTTACAAGGACCAACAAATGTAACCTTTTTGACCAAAGCAAGGTACAATATTACCAGGACCGATTGTTGACTTTCTCTGTTAGGTCTCATCGAGCATTGGAATTAACGGCTTCTAACTTGCTGAATTCTGTTAACAAAACCTCCAACTCCGGGTCTGTTATTTGGCACAGAAGCAACAGCGATAATTATTTAGACTGGAGCCCGGAGTGTGTTCTCTGTCTTGAGGTGTTTGTGGAGAAGACAAATCATGCTTGGAGGGAATAGCTTGTGAAATTGAATAGAAAATTGTCCAGTGAAACTAAAAAAGCCACTCCCTCTCTGAGCAACACCTTACTGCGCTCTTTCACTTATTTTGTGTCGTTTTCTGGCGGCAGTGGCAGGTGAATAAGAATAGGAAAAAAACAAACATAACGGATAAATGGTAAAGTTCGTGTACGATCATTCAGGGGATATTTGTCAAATTAATCAAATGGTATTTAAAGAAATGGAATAAATCGTCACCGTTTTCAAGAATAGACAGAAGTCTCGCCGGAGAGTAAAACTTAGTTTGGAGAAAATCGCATTTGAGTTGGTCTCTTTTACAAATGCTTATTTTCCAAGTATATTGCATTCCTTTGACTCATCCAATACTACATCCCGGGATCTCAAATGACAAAAAACTGCAAAATGATGTTTACACAAATCAATTTAATTTGTTTACTTTTTAAACAAACACGTTTTTTTGTTCGTAAAAACGCTAAAATTTGAGTGATGTTTGTTTCTTCGTTAATTAAAACGGCATGGACAGTACACGTGCACGTGTTTGCTATAGCGCGTGCCAGGTGCAATTATTATTGCATTTCCATAAGTTCCGGAGTCAACTTTGTCTTTCGTGAAAACGGTAAAAACAGAAGCGTTGTGCCCATGATTTTGCCCTTTACTGCTAACATATTACCAAAGGAAGACAACGTTGTTTCTTAGTGAAAACAGAAAGTACGGTTAATTTTAAATTTGCTCTACGGGGATCATCGTGATTTCGCTGATTTCAATAGATTTGGCAAAAGATTATTACACCAGGTTGTAGGCATCATACAAGTTGAAAAGAAAAATCAGAAATTTTAAAAGATATCGTGATTTAGGGGCGACTTTGCCTCTTCGTAAAAACGGTGAGAAAATATGCACCGATCGCCTTTGGTTCGGCTAATATCATTTCCGAAAGCCCAGCCGGTCTTACACGTTTTAGACCAGTCAGACTCATATTTAATCACCATTGAACACCGTCCATGCCAATTGCAACATGCATAAATCAACATTATGTTCAAGTTGATATTGCCTGTAAACTATTCTATGCTTTCTTTGCAACCCAACATGGCTGCCATAGACCTCTTCACTAATAAATTCATAATTATGCACGCTTGCGCACAAATAGCCTTAGCGGCAAGAAGTGTGAGCGGTCTGTTAGTATACTGTACGTACGTAGCTTACCATTGAACTTGGTCATAGCTTGGAGTACTACCAAAAGAAATGGTATCCAATTGTTGTGTTTGGGGTTGTACAAGACAAAGTGCAGAAAGAGAAAGAGATCTGGTTCTTCAGATTTCCCAAGTGCAGAAAAGAGCCAATCGAATGGGTACAGTCCCGGTGCATTTACATTAAACATAAGTACATGTTTTTACAAATGCACAGGTTCGCTCCAAAAACACTAACATTGTAGTTTATACTACTTACGATGGAAGGGGTCCATACTAAGAAACGGTGATCTCGTGCGCACAGGAAAATTCACGATTATGAAGTCTTTTTACAGAGCATTAAAAATTCCGCTTAGATTAGAAACTCATAGCAAAACTATTTAATGGGATTTTCTGAAGAAAAAAATTAACATAGCCAGAAAACCTGAGAGAAAATGATCATCAAAGTGGCCCGCTCACACTTCTTGCCGCCAAGGCCATTTGTGCGCATGCATGCATAATTATGATTTTATTAGTGAAGATGTCTGTAAAAATCTTACTCAGTCACGAAGTGATTAGCCGAGAGTTGCAATATTATTTTTGTGAGATCGGGATTTTTAAAAAGTAGCTTCATATCATAAAATTGTATGGGGATTTAATCCACCGCCTTTTTTCCATGGATATACGATTGTTTTTGTCAAAGATGATTTTGGCAGTTCAAACCTTCTGATACTTTCTCTAAGGTTCTGTCGAGTAAATCAAGGATGTTGATGTGTCAGTAGCCTGGCTTATTGTATTTTCTTCAGTTAACTTAGGTTTACAATCATGTTTACGTGTTTACAATCTTGTATGTGTGTGTAATTGGCCACTCAGGACAACAAATAGTCGGTGAGTGTATTTGGATATACATTGCATTTTGAGCTCTTTTGGACAAAATTGTGGTTCGAAACGTTTGGGGGTATCGTTGCAAGGTGAACCCATCTCACTTTGACTCTTCACAAAAGCTACTGTGACTAGGCTAATGCTGAATTACGGTAACTACCTATCGTGCAAGGCGCTCACTTCAAAGAGGGTAGGTCTAAGTAGAGCGATTTTTCTTACAGAAGTATCCGAGGTTTCTTTGAAAAGTTTCCGACATCGCCCCATTCCGACACCGCCTCTCCCCCTCCCAGCTGTTTCCACACTTTGAGGTGGATCGGTGAGCAAATTTTCTCGCTTTTAGTTTTCGTAACCAGATTTTGTGTCGCACCATTTGAGTCCCCCCACGATAAATATTTTTGGAACAACATTATCAAAAGCACAGACGATCTTCATTGTTTGGAGGGGATACTTTGTAATCATGAACAATGACGACAAGCGATGTTAAAACGACTTCATAAATAACATGAAATGTTTAAGCCGAAATTGAATAAATGCCTTCAGAAAGCTGGAACTGTATTGATATTAACAAATTTCTTGAGTAACATATTATTTTGGGAAGAATTATGCAAAGCTACTTACAGCCGCTACTGAAGGCGGTCTCGGCTCTTTTTCTCCATCGGCATTGTTTTCTGAATGCAGTGAAAGTCTTGTCACGGAGAGCGG